CATTAGAAAATAGTAATCTTAGGGAGAAATAATATAAAATACAATAAATATACCCATAAGATTATGTGTCCAAAAAGTGAGAAGAAATCATATTATATAATTCTATGGGAAAAAACTTCCTAATAATCTGTGTGTTACATGGCATGTCACTACAGAATAAAGAATTGAAACTGTAAAGTCACATTTTTTTTAATTGTCAATGGATCTTTATTTATACACAATGCTAAGAATTGAACCCAGTGCCTCACATATGCTAGGAAAACACTCCATCACTGATCCATGACCCCAGCCCCACATTTATTTTAATATTTATTTTTTAGTTATAGTTGGACACAATATCTTTATTTTATTTATTTATTTTTATGTGGTGCCAAGGATCAAACCCAGGGCCTCACATGTGCTAGGCGAGTGCTCTACTGCTGAGCTACAACCCCAGTCCAAAAACCACATTTTTTAAGAAGTAAAATGATTAGCTCTTTTTTTCTCCCCTGAGGCAATCATGCCCAACAACTTTGATTTTTCCTTCACTACTTGGTGAAGAGCCCAAATACATACTTTGTTGTGGTTTAGTTCCTATAAGGATTAATATTGCTCAGAACTGATGAAAATAATTAATTCCTGCGGTACACTACGTTTTCTGTGATTTTGTTCACTTAAAAATGCCTGCTACCTGGCTGGGGATATATCTCAGTTGGTAGAGTGATTGCCTTGCAAGCACTCACACAAGACCATGGGTTCAATTCCCAGCACCAAAAAAAAAAAAATGTCTGCTAACTTAAATATTTAAGATGTGCATCCCAAAGTCCAAGTTTTGAAATAAAAATCCCTGAAGTATTTAAGTTCTCTCCATATTCAAAAGCAATAAAAACAATCAGGATGAGGGGAGAAAGAAAGAAAAAAAAGAAGGAAGGAAGGAAGGAAGGAAGGAAGGAAGGAAGGAAGGAAGGAAGGAATTGTGTCCATCTACAACTAAAAAAAACTATTTTTTTAAAAAGCAGGATGATAATTAACAAAGCTTTTATCCAGAAATAATTTCAGTGTCAGATTACTGTAAACTTTGAAATGGAATCTTACAGAACATGGGGGTAATCTAGGAATTGGGTGAACTCAGCAAAAGAGATGGCAGTCAGGAGGAATGCCTACATTTAAATCCTAGCTCTGGCTCCCTAGCTATGTGGCTTTGGTATGTTACTTTACCTTACTATGCCTCGGTACTCTAATCTGTAACACAAGGAGAATGATAGTATCAACCTTATTTTATTATTCTGAGGATTAAATGACTGTACATATAAAAAGATCAGAAGGGCTAACAGGGACATACTGGATACACAGCATTAAGTATTTTAAACATTTTACCTTTCAGCATGTGACTAGCAAATCCAAGGCTGTAATGGGGATCAAGGACTCCTTTCTGATTCTTTCTATAATGTGAGTAAAAAGATAAGATCTCCTGAACATCTGCCCCAAGGTTCACCAGCTGTGCACCCATGGGCCTTGGGTGGGGGAGTGACTCAGCTATTGTCCATGGTTCTAGAAAAGGTGTATGCCACAACAGTGGGACTATTCACAGTTTGCTCCTCAATTTGCTTCCAATATTCTTCCCAGAAATTGCTTTAAATCTCCAGGTCCCCATGGAGACCTCAGGAGAGACTGCCCATTGACTTTAAGTGAAATTTTACCATGACTGCTCCCTTGATAACAAATGGATATTTTTAAAAGCCTGGCCCCAACAGACTTCTGCTGCCGCTCATGGCCACAGCCACATTTTTCCTGGACTGAGAGGGTAAGAGTTCACCCTCTGGGGCCAGGCTGTGTGTTCTGCTCAAAAGAAAGGGGGAAAACACAATATGTGCTGCTACTCTCAGCATCAGAGACCAGGCGAGGGACTTTCCATTCATGTTTGTGACCAGAGGCTGGAATGAGGTGTCTGCCCGGAATGGCGGAGTAAATTAATCAACTCGTGTTCTTTGCTGCCTGCAGAAATTAATTATAATGTGCTTTTCACACCAAAAGGTAGAAAAGTAGAGCTTGGAGTTAAGGCGGGGGGCACCACACAAGAGACCTGTTTGAAAAAGGACTCCATCGTCTACAGGAGGAATAGAATCTAGTCAAAGCAAAGAATTCAAAGAGCGAGAATTCCCCAGTACTTTGCCAGCATTATTCAGAGTTCAGTGGAGCAAGACACTTGATGTTCCAGATTCCCAGCTCCTGGGGTGACAGAAATTGTTCCTTTCTTAAATATTTGAGGGATATTTGTTGAGCAGCTCCTATAATGCATCAGATATTGCGCTAGGCGGCAGCATGAGAGTGGAGAATAAGGTAGAAAGGCACCCAGTCTAGAGAAGGGAGATGGAGAGCAGACTTTTAAACAATTTGCAAGATCACTGAAGTTAGTGGTAACTGCTAGGAAGGGAGGAAGGGCATGGATGTGGACTGGGGCAGTTAGCTCAGGGGATGTCAGCCACAAGAAACAGGAAAAAAAGCTGGCCAGGATAAACAGAATGTGAGATCTGTTTACTGAGGAAGGAATGAGCTCCTCCTGCCCAGGAACAGGAACCTAATGGCGGAGTCAGGACAGGGAGTGGGGAATGGCCAGGAATGGAGAGCGTAGTCACAGAGGCAGCCTCCTCACAGAGATCCCTGAGAGAAAGTCACTGTGAGTGAAGATGACATGTGACTGTGAAGACCAGCCTGGATGGTGAGGCCTGATGCTACCTAACATCCATAGCAAGAAATATAGAATTGAATACGTAATGCTTATCTGCAGGCTACACAGGCACAGAACATTCCTGGGAAGTTATAAAATAAGCTGAAAAAGAGGTTGCTCCTGGGTAGGGAAATCATAAAATTGGATGGCAAAGAGGAGAGAAAGTTTGCTTTTCACCATTTACTCTTTTATACATTTTTAATTCGTACTATGTATGGGTAACCTCTGTTTTTTAAAGAATTAAAAATTAAACTGAGGGGTTGAGGGTATAGATCAGTGATAGGGTATTTGCCTAATATGGACAAGGCCCTGGGTTCAATGTCCAGGCACCAGAAAAAAATTTTAAAACTGAGAAAAACCACATACAAAAAAAAAAGTTTGCCTTTTTGCTACTATTAAGCAACCCCTCTTTGGAAAGACATAATTTTCTTAAAAGCTACATAGTTTTCAATCAGGAACAACCAGTTCTACTAACTTGAAAGCCATTTTATGTTTTCATGTTTGCTTCCCCATTCTGGGGTATATCAGATTCTCAGAGACACTTTATTTCTCTTGTTTTCAATTTACAAATTCTGTCCCCTGCTTTTCTCAAAAACTCCTCTGTCTAGCACACCTGTAATCCCTGTAGCTCAGGAGGCCAAGGATTACCAAATCAAAATCAGACTCAGCAAAAGTGAGGCACTAAGCAACTCAATGAGATCATGTCTCTAAATAAAATGCAAAATAGGGCTGGGGATGTGGCTCGGTGCCGAGTGCCAACTGAGTTCAATCACCCGTACTCCAAAAAGCAAACAAAAAAATCCTTCTCCTTCCAGACAGTATTTAGCTCTCCTCAACGTCTACTATAAAAGCAAATCTTTCCTCAAAGAAAAATTAGCACAGAAAGATTCAAATAACATTTCCTAAACCTTGTAAAATAAGAACATCAAAGAAAAATCTTCTAAAGGAACTTTGCCTTTCAGTTAAAACTGACAGAAATCCAACTTATATAAGCTGAAGAAGAAGGAATCCACTGGTTCATAGAGTTGGGCAGCTCAGAAGTTGGGCTAGCTTCAAGCACAGATTGATCCAGGGCTCTTGCACCATTGCTGTCAGCTCTGCTTGGTTGCTTGCTGCACTTAGGCCCTTCTGCAGTTTTCACAATGCTCACCAGTAGCCCCAAACCTCTGGGCCTCTAGCTTAGTAATCCCAGTAGAGGGAGAAGTCCTCCCTGAACAGGAAATCCAGAGAACATTCTGATGGATGAGTCTTGAGCTTGTCCAGGGTTGGGACTCAAGCCCGGCCTAGCTCAGACTATATTCTAGTACCACACCAAACAGTGCAAAGAACAGTACCCAGGAGTGCTGGGTAAGAAAGAAATAACAGATGTCCTTTGTCACTTCTAACAAGTTAAAATTACGATCATGGATATTTTAAGAGGCTTGAAACTATAAAACTTTGCTCCCTACAATGTGCAGAGGTGATGGGTTTTCAATTTCAAGGCAAGGTGGCTGGGAAGTTCAAATATCCACACAGACATTACCTAATCTGTTATACTCAACATACTTTTGAATACCAGAGTGGAAATACGCTTATAAAATAGGCCAAAACAAAACAAAACATCCCAAAAATGCAATTTGTAAATCAGATTACAATCCTTTGGTCCCCATGAAACTTTTTGCTCAGGATAAAATATTTCTGTGGTTCGACTTGACAAAATTTATCTTCTTCATTTTAGCCATGAACTTTTTAAGTAATTGTGAAATTCAAAAAATATATCTAAGTGTGGGGTCCATATTTAGTTTTTTGGTTTGTTATTTTTTGGAGGACAAGGATTAAGGACAGAACCCAGGGGCAATATGCCATGAGCCACATCCTAGCCCTTTTTATTTTTCAGAAGCAGGGTCTACTAAGTTGTTTAGGTCCTTACTATGTTGCTGAAGCTGGACTTTTGTTTCTGATCCTCCTATCTCAGCCTCCAGAGTCGCTGTGATGATAGGCCTGTGCCACCATGCCCGGCCACATTTAGCTTTAAATCATAAAATAACCTAAGAAGTTCTATTTGCATTATTTTTACCAAAAGTTCACCTATTCTCTCTCCAAATCTTCCTGGTTGGCTGAACCAAGTGACTTTTCCTTAAACTTACTGATTCTTGAGTAGATGACCAGTTTTACCCTTGAATGCACAACACTCATGTTGAGTAAGTTCCTTAATAAGAAAACTCATCTGAGGACAAGTTTGGAAACCCTTCCATATGAAGTTGTTCATCTTTACAGTAACACAATGAGAACATGAACAAGAGCCAATACTATATGCCAGTGTAATTATAAATACCTTTTATTTGGAATTTTACAATTAAAGCCACATTTCCAAGGCATCTTCAAAAAGGCAGACATGATCAATGTGTTTTAAAGCAATGGTTCTCATCAATGATTAAGACATTCTTAGGTGTTTTGGATCACCAAGAGCAACACAAAATCTTCAAAACAAAACTAGTTTTAAATCTATTTTATTTAAAACAATTTACAAATAGGCCAAATATCACTCAGCCTAAGAGAACTTCAACCTTTTTAACAACATCATAGTCCAAAAAGACTAATACTTACTGCTGATTCAGCTCACAGTATTATCCCTTCCCAGGCAGCAGCACCGTCTCTAGAAATATTTTATGGGCACCTTCTATGGGCATCATATATTTCCACAGCCACAGGCATGGCCCTGCCCACAAGAAGCTTAGTGTAGCCAGAGAGACAGGAAACACCCATATCAGACAAACGGAGCTGGCTCCAGTCCACACCTCTATCTTAACAAGAGCTATCATCCACATAAGTCATCACGTGTTTTAGCAAATAAGCCACAGGAATAACCTAGCAATTACATGCTACATCAAGTTTCAACTTGACATTTTGTTAAAAAAGACTACATTTTATTTTATATTTCTGAGTTGCTGGGGATGGGACCCAAAGTCTCACATATGCTAAGCAAACATTCTACCACTGAGCTACAACTCCAGCCCAAAAAAGGTTTTATTCAGTTCACAGATATTTGTGCTCACTCATGTTTCCCCTCAATTGAATCAAAAGAAAAATGTAACTCCAAGCCAACTGTACCATAATGTTTGCTGTCCTAAACGAAAGAATGGCTTGTCCATGTCCTAGAATTTCTGCACAGTTCCACATCCTGATGTCAAATTCAGTAGTTACTGCTAAACCGATGTACAAATTCAGACAGCGTGTAGACAGCGCCCCATCCTACTTCAGGATCCATGCTGATGAAATCATTCAAGTTCATTTTGGAGTCTAGAAAAATATATGAAAGAAACATCTGATGAAAACATAATTTTGACATAGCAGCAATAAAATCCAGAGACCAAAAAGCAGGAGATATTATTCAAATGGATAAGGGTTCAAGGTCATTTCTGTGGTTCAAGGTCATTTCTATGTTCAAGACCATTTATTCCTGCTTGTCACAGATTGGAGGAGACATGACAACTAAATACTAAGTTTCAAACAAATTGGAAGAAAAAACAATTATGACTTCATGAAATAACTATAAATGTGAAAACAGACTACATAGACATATGATAATTTTCCACATATAATAATGGTATTATGGCCATTTTGTTTTAAAGAAAAGACACCCTTATATTTTAGAGATACACTAAAATAGCCAGAGTTAAATGGACACACTATCTCACTTCAGAGTAATGCAGGTGGCCGAAAGTGGCTGAGATATAAACAAAACCACCAGCCATGAGCTGTTGGTGTTGGAAATCGAATAAACTATTGTGTCTGGTTTTGTATGTGATTTAAATTTTCCACATAAAACGCCTTTTTGGACTAGGGGTATAGCTCAGTGGTTGAGAGTTTTCCTACCATGTGTGGGGCCCTGAGTTTAACCTCTAGCACCCCCACAAAAAAAAAAAAAAACTTTTTAAAATTCATGCAGCTTCCTGCTTCTGTCCCTCAAAGAACTGTTATAGGAACTGCATTTCTATCACAAACCACCAGAAAACTAGACAAAAGATACAAAGGGACTGGACAATGGGCAGTGAGTGAACAATGGTAGCACATAACCATGAATTTCAAGGATCAGACATAAGTAAGGAGAGCTGGGAAAGGACTCACAAACAGCCTAGAAGGGACACACAAACAGCCTGGCAGTCTCCCTGCATGAGAAGACAGAGGCTGAAGTTCAGGAAGGCCCCCAGGAGCTAGGGGTGAGAGCATCACAGCCCAGGGGAGCTGCAGAGGGACCCCCTGTGTCTTTGGACAAGTACTGAGCTTTGGACAAGTACTGAGCTTCTCTTTCATACTGGATGAAACAAGTGAGGACAGGGAGAGAAGCAGCAGGAAGCAGAAAGTCTGACAATTTCCAGAACTTCCACAGTGACAATTCGCATCCCTCAGTTTCCTTACCATGGGGAAAAAAGGCTCTTTTCTTTAAATTCACTAAATGCAAAGTGGGAAATAGTGGTGAACCTCCAGACAGTCAGGTAGCCACTAAAATTTATTAATGCATATGCTTAATCATAGCCTACAACATGTCAAAAATAATAAATTTTCAGTTATAAGAGTCACTTCTGACTGGAGTTATGTAGCTCAGTGGTACAGCACTTGCCTATTGCGGGAGGCACTGGGTTCAATTTTTAGCACCCACATAAAAATCAATAAATAAAATAAAGGTCCATCAACAACTAAAAAAAATCACTTCTTGGGGCTGGGGATGTGGCTCAAGCAGTAGCGCGCTCGCCTGGCATGCGTGCGGCCCAGGTTCGATCCTCAGCACCACATACAAACAAAGATGTTGTGTCCGCCAAAAACTAAAAAAAAAATATTAAAAATTCTCTCTCTCTCTCAAAAAAAAAAGCATCACTTCCAAAATTATGTGCAAAAAGCTGCATATAACTACTCTTCTTAATGCATGTGTTTGGACATGCCTTCATGTAAAATTTGACTTCGAGAATAATTTTTTTAAACCTTCTTTATTTTTCACAAAACACCACTCATTAGCTAAAAGTAAATCACATTTATCCTAACTTCTAATATATCCTTTTAAAAAAAATTTTTTTAGATATTGATGGGCCTTTATTTTATTCATTTATTTATATGTGGTGCTGAGAATCACACCCAGTGCCTCACATATGCTAGGCAAGCACTCTACCACTGAGCCACAACCCCAGCCCTCTAATACACCCTTTTGATAAATACAGCATTTGAGGTAATAAATTCACCACATGACAGAACATTATAATTCAGTTACATAATTACATGAGAAACCAACACATTTACCTCATGCTCCACAGATCTCTTTTGTTGGTTTTTATTTCTTTGTTGTTGTTATTGATTTGGTCCTGGGGCTCCAGAGATGCTCTATCACTGAGCTACATCCCCAGCCCTTTTTTTTTTCTTTTTGGGGTGCTGGGGTTTGAACCCAGGGCTTTGTTCATGCAAGGCAAGCACTCCACCAACTGAGCTATATCCCCAGCCCCCCAGCCCTTTTTATTTTTTTTTATTTTGAGACATGGTCTTCCTGAGATGCTCAGGAACTCACTAAGTTGCTGAGGCTGGCTTTGAACTTGCAATCCTCCTGCCTCAGTCTCCCAAATTGCTGGGATTACAGGTGTGCGCCACCATGCCCAGCTAGATTTCTTTTTAATTCAATCTCAAATTCAGAAGGCCCCTGATAAGTTAACTACAAATGAAGCCCAAGACTCCTCTTGAAGAAATCCTTTCTCAAGCACTGTGCACTTACCTGTAACCAGCCCTGCTGCTCTCCAGCTGTGTACACTTACACAAAGGGCTGAATCTCATGCACTTCTCTCTATCCATCTAGCCAATGAAGAAATCACACTTGGCTCATTGGGTTTTAGTGAAAATTAAATTGAACTAATATGTTAAGGGGATGGCCAAAGCCTGGCACAAAATGGCACCTAATGAAGAGGAGTCATCTAAACCAAAGAATGGCCCAAAGAGGTCCAGGGATGACCAGGTGGGGTTTACTAATTGTCTGTCATGTGCTAGCCCCTTAGGTGCCCACATCTAAAAGAAAAATGAATAGTTGCTGAAGGCACAGTATGCCCAGACCAGACCCCATGCAGCAGAGAGTAGTCTGCTAACTTAGGAGCCTGCCCAGTTCTAACGCCCAGGCTGGGAAGCAGGTTGGTATACCAATAAGCAATTGCACATTTTTTTTTTTTTTTGTACCAGGGATTGAATCCAGGGGCACTTAACCACTGAGCCACATCCCCAGCCCTTGTTATTTTTTATTTTGAGACAGGATTTTGAGACAGGGTCTCACTAAGTTGCTGAGGCTGGCTTTGAATTTGTGATCCTCTGAAAGTCTCCTGAGCCACTGGGATCACAGGCTGTGCACCCAGCACTTTTTCCTTTATTTTTAATTATAAGAGCTTTTTACAGCCTCAAAAGCCAGAGTCTGAACCTTCTTTAAGTGTGCTCTGCCTTCAAACATGACAAATAATTTTTTTAATATTTTTATTAGTTATTGATGGATCTTTATTTATATGTGGTGCTGAGAATCGAACCCAGTGCCACATATGCTAGGCAAGCGCTCTAGCACTGAGCCACAACCCCAGCCCCCAAATAATTTTTTTCCTTTCTTCCTTGATGAACTATTTATATGACTGTCCTGTCTTCCCAGCATCCTGCACAGCTTTCAAGCACTTTCATGCAGACTGTATTAGCCATGTGCTGGGATGATCTCACAAACAAGCAAGAATGTTGTGAATGACTTCCAGTCATAAACAGTGTTTCAAATGCATATGAATGCCAGACAATAACAATAAGGAGAGCAACCCTCCATCTTCTTAAATCTCAGGAAATTATCAACTGGACTGCTGCCTAGAAGCCCATAAATGAAACAAGTGGCACACCACACCCTGCTGGCTCTCACCTCCCTCCAGTTCAGGGTTCATCACAAAGTCACTGAAATGACATTTCACACATGCTGAGGATGCACTGGGGATTTCTTTCACCATAACATGAAACGCTACCATGGCAAATGCTACTCATCCCACTATTAAGTGACACAAATATGCAGACCTTTGGCATCCAGCATCAAACAGTAGGAACATACACTAATCTGGCAGAGTGCACGTGCATGACTCTGCTCCTTAACAGCTTTCCTCTCCCAGGAGTTCTTATGCCTTCCAGACCTGTCCTCTGTGCCTCAACTTCCCAACCTAAGAAACACACAGAACTAGCACTTCCTCTTCCTTCCTCACCACTCAAACCCCTGGGAAAGGCACCCTTGGCTCACCTCCAGTTTCAATGCAGGGGTAGGGTGGAGGAGGCTCTCTCCAGTTCCCACTGGAGTCTTTCATGTGAGATCGGTCAGAAGCAAAGTTCTTCAGGTAGGAATCTGCACGGATCACTCTAAATTTCCTGCAAATCAATCAACAGAACTTTTGTTAGGGAGATGTCACATTGGGAATTCTAACTCAGCTTTTAGATAGCCTCATCTTCTATGACATGCACAAAACTACTCATGCATTTTTATCCTGTTAGTAATATAAAGATTTATTACCTATTAAAATACTCTATGGGAAATGACTGAAGTCTAAAGATATGAAGGTACAGAAATATACCTACCTAGTTGCCTTTATTTACTCAATTGTGATTCAGGCAAAGGGCATGATCTTCTGGAGTTGGCCTCACAGTTCTCTTAATTTTGGCAGCATGAGAATCCCCACCCCTACCCATCAAAGGAGAGTATGAGAGAACCTCCCAGGGTGCCCCCCAAAACATGTTTGAGATCTCATCACAAATTTTTAAGACTGCCAACCTTTAATATGATGTATAACCTTCAAAGCTCTAACATATTGTTTTTACTCTCCTGTGTAGCAAGCACATCATTCTCAAGTATCAACTTACTACTGAGGCCAAGCAAGGTAAGTGATCTTTAGAAAACAAATACAAAAGAAGGGAAGAAAAAAGAAAGAACCTCTGTGCAATTGCCAAGGCCTTATGTCAGACACTAATTCATCCTGAATGTCCTCACCTCCTAAACTGTGGATGAATGTCATCGTCAGACTTAAAGGCCTCTTCTACGTAAGTGTCAAAGGGGCAGGGAAATGGCAAAACAGTATCGAGATCATAAATGAAGCTCTGTCCTCCACTTGACACATGAAGCAAAACAACATGGTAATCCTAGAAGTAAAAATTGCTGATGTTAACCAAGTTACTCTAGGATGACAAATTGCAAGGTCCCATGAGCAATGCACATATATTATCACAAAAACAGATACAAGACGAATACAGCCCTCCTTAAAAACAGCAAAATTTTTAAAAAGCAAACAAAAAGCCCTGAAAATAGACTAAATGTCCACTGATAGGGAAATGGCTAAGAAATAAAGGAAATGTTCATTTATGTTAAATGCATATCCTTCGACCCAATAATACTACCTCTAGTAAACTGTCTTACAGGGAAATGGTCATATGCGGGCAAAGGTATATGTACCAAGAAAACCTCTGCAGCATTGTTAATAACAATGAACATTCTGAAATAGCCCCAAGTCCTTCAATAAAACAGTGGTTAATAAACTATGATACAGCCACATATTAGCATACTATGCAACTACTGAAACAAATAGGCAAATTTATATGGAAAACTGAAAAATATCCATTATCTATTATTACCTACTATTATTAAAACTATATGTATATTAGGACACACATGTGCACTTGGAAGTATATACACATGCATGTGAAGTAGAGGGAAAACTCTACAAGGATACCCTCTGCTACAGTCTGGATATTAAATGCCCCCCAAAATCCCATATGTTAAAGGCTTAGACCCCAGAATGGCACTATGAGGAGGTGATGGAACCTTTAAAGGCAAGACCTAGTGGGAAGTCTTCTGGGCACTGGAGATATGCCTTTCATGGAGACCATGGGACCCCAGCCCTTCTTTTGCTTTCTCCCCTCACCAATGAGGTAAGCAGCTTTGCCCCACCATGCACTCCCGCCTTGACGTGCTGCCTCACCACAGCCCCAAAAGCAACTGATCATGAACCAAAACCTCTAAAACTGAGAGACACAATAAACCTTTGCTCTTTATAAGTTGATTTATCTTAGGTGTTTGTTAAAGTGACAGAAAGCTGACTAACACCCTCCAAATTTTTAACAAAGGGGACTTCTTGAGTTTAGTGTGGAAAGAGTCTAAAGGACTTATATATCCAGTTTTGTACTACTTTTCTAATTAAAACAAAGAAAAAAAGTACTTTAAAAAAAAGTCAGCCATGCCCTCATCTGTAGCCATGAAGGGAGAAGGATAAAAGTTGTGCCACCCAATTTTGTTACAGAGCAGATATTACTTCCTACTCTCACTCCCAGACACAAGGCACTACTAACACCAGCTAATAAGGGCCAAAAGGGTTTCCGGATTATCAGGGGAATATGAGTAGACTGGTGCTTTGGCCCCTCAGGAAAAAAAATGCTCTCCACAGACAACAGCACACCAAAATAAATCTCAATATAACAACATTAGTAATAACATCTTTTATTCCTGCAGTACTTTAGAGTTCACAAGGCACTTATTCCATCTGAGCCCTGCAAAGTCCCTGTGAGGTGGGAAAGTTAATTGAGACTGGAAACATACCATCAGCATGAAAGCTTCCCTTGGCTCCAACTCCATCCCTAGTAGAGCAGAAATAACATCAGAAATGGATGCTTCCTCCCTGCACTCCTTTTATCCTTCAAGATAAATGGACTAAAAGCTTCAGCCCCTTCTGGCCCACCACTTCCTTCCGCTGGGCTTGCTCGTGTTACACATTCCCCCACGGTAGCAGCAACCTTCTCCACCTCTCTCCACCAAACAAGCTCTGGCTCAAAGGCTTTCTCTCTCAGGAATGTGCTTTTCGTCTTTCCTAACCCCTGCCAGAAGTAATCTCTGCCTTACCCAAAATCTATTTCTGTTAACATCTTCAATTCCTATCATTAGTTTTCACAAGGGTGAAAAAAATAAGTCTTACCCTCAGGGGTCAGTAGAGAAATGTAGGGTAATCAGAAGAGAATGGATGCAATACCGTGTGATGAAGAGAAAGAACAGGAGTACACACATCTTGTACGGGGAAGAGCCTGCCCAAAGCTCAGTCCCTCCATTTCCCAGCCTCAGCTTCCTCTTATAAACTGGAGATAACTGGAGTGTCTACCTTGTAGAGTTAATGGGACAGGGAGTATGTCAATGCTCATCCTTTTCTAAAGCCAATCAAGAAACAGAGGGGACTGGGATCCACCTGCCCAGGACAGTATCACTCAAATCCTGCTTGAGAGCTTTCCAGAAAGAAGACAATCTGTGGAAAACCAAGAGCAATGACCAACCACACCCCAGTCAGTCAGGCCCATATTCCTACTCAGCACGTGGCTGCTGGGCTTGGGGGGAAGAGGTCTCACAGTGTATATGTGGAGTCATGAAACAAACAGGTGGTTCAGTGTTTGCCCAGCTGCCAGGAAATAACCCACTGGGCTGGAAGCAGGATACCCCTCTGGGAGGGGATCTGCTCCTGGAGGCTGGATTGCCCTACCTGGTCAGCAAGGCCAACCCATTTCCTATAAGAGGACAGCACCGAGACAAAGATAAATCTGCCAGGCTGTGGGGAGACTTCCTGCAGCAGGACTGTGCACCCTGAGCTGCCATGAGATGTGGTGGAAGGGATGTGTCCACAGGTCCTTTCCCAGGAAGGCTCCACAGACGGGGAGCAGCTGAGCAGTTCAGCAGCAGGGTTGAATTCCTAGAGAAGGTGGACAGCCTGCAATAGGAGTTATGTAGCATTGCCAACAATAGCCACCAAACACCAACTTTAAAAATTTTTTTTTTCATATTGAAGATTGCATCCAGGGTGCTTCATCACCAAGCTACATCTCCAGCTCTTTTTATTTTTTTTATTTTGAGATAGGATCTCATTAAGTTACTGAGACTGGTCTCAAGTTTGTGATCCTCCTGCCTCAGCCTCCCAAGTTATTGGGATTACAGGCATGTGCCACCATACCCAGCCCACCTCTTCTTAGGTGTCCTCTATGTTCCCTCATTTAAGCATTACAACCTCACTAACACCAAAGAGACAGGCTATGTAACTAGTCCAAGTCCCACAGACTGGGACTTAAACCCCTGCTCCTAACCACAACAGTGCTAGGTTTGGGCTTTGATGTTGGTATAAAAGATCAAGATAGAGATAGAAATTCTGTGAGTCCCCAAGTTTTAGTCTGCTTTGTGACTGCTATATAAAAGGCACCAAATAACCTAAGTGAAATAAATGGAGACAATTCAAACGATACATCATATCTTGAGTAGGTATGTAGAAATTAGGAGTTTGTTACAATATTATTTATAAAATTCTTCTTTAATTTTTTCTCCATCATTACTAATAAACAATTCCATTTTTCAGGAAGATAGGTTAAAATGACACACAGAGGTATACAGGAAAGAACCCAGGTCTAAGACCCAGTTCTGCCACTGACCTTGAGCTACTCACTCGCTATGCCTTTCTGTGGTTGTTTTATCATCTGAAAAATGAAGACACTGGAGTGGATATCTCTGTGTGGGTGCATGCACTTGTGTTTTGTCTTTTGTTTTAGATCCATGTCTTTCAAATGGAGATGATGTTCAGCCAGGAGTGTATTAAGAACACTATTTATGAATCTCTTTCTAGATGAACCAACCCAGGAATCTATAATTTTAACTACTCTCCAGATAGCTCTAATATGCAGCTGGACTGCATACTGATAAAAGTTCCTTTCAGGGGCTGAGGTTGTAGCTCAGTAGTAGAGCACTTGCCTGGCACATGTGAGGTCCTGGGTTCAATCCTCAGCACCACATAAAAAATAAATAAACAAAATAAAGGTGTTGTGTCCATCTAGAATTTAAATTTTTTTTTTCTAAAGTTCCTTTCAGTGCTAAAAGGATAAGTCCAGAAGATCACAAATATGTCTCCTATACTGGCCATTTAAAAATCATTCCTAGAGCTCTCTTCCTGGAAGCAGCCTGAGACAATCTGTGAAAATGGTTTGCTACCCTCTTAACTCAGAAAATCCCACAAAAATCATGCAAATCAAGACGTTCAAATCTTCGTGTTCACTTTATACACATCTGTGAAACTGCCCAGGCCATCACAGGTGTGTGTATCTGAAAAGACGTACATATCTGAAAGATGTCCCTTTAGGGGCTGGGATTGTGGCTCAGCGGTAGAGCACTCGCCTAGCATGGGCGGGACCCAGGTTCAATCCTCAGCACCACATAAAAATAAAAGACATTGTGTTGTGTCCATCTACACCTAAAAAATAAATAAATAGGGGCTGGGGATGTGGCTCAAGTGGTAGAGCGCTCGCCTGGCATGGGTGTGGCCCGGGTTCGATTCTCAGCACCACATACAAACAAAGATGTTGTGTCTGCCAATAACTAAAAAATAAATATTAAAATTAAAAAAAACAAAGATCAACACTATTAAAATTATTTAAAAAATAAAAATAAAAAATAAATAAATAAATATTAAAAAAAAAAAAAGATGTCCCTTTAAAGAAGCAAGGTGTACGATTCTAGCATTACAATGATCAAACAGGTAGTTATGCTAAGGCCCAATTGGGTCTGGACACAAGGTCACGGGCCCAAAAAGAGTGCTGAATTTTTGTACACATGCTTAAAAATGCAGAGAATTATGCTGAACTTAAGGGTTTAGATGTGGATTCTCTGGTCATTGAACATATCTGGGTGAATAAAGCACCCACAATGTTTAACAGCCCCTGGCCAGATGAACCAGCAGGTATGCTTCCTCTGCCACCTGAGGTAATCATTATTAGAAAGAAGAAATTGTTCCTAAACCAGAAGAAGAGGCTGCACCAAAGAAAAAGATATCCCTGAAGAAACAAAATTTATTACGCCAGAATAAATTTAGTATAAAATAAATGCAAATAAAAGCATAAAAAATAAAATCATTCCCATAATAATGCCAAAATAAAAATTAAAATATGCCTGTAGTACTTCTACCTTAGACCAAATAACATCTATTCTCAAAACAGTGAGAATAAATACCATTTATATAAATAAACTTATAAATTTAAAAATACCATTTATATATATATACACACACACACACACACACACACCATTTAATAAATATATAAGTAAATACCATTTATAGCTGGGTGAGGTGGCACACGCCTGTAATCCCAGCGGCTTGAGAGGCTGAGACAGGAGGATCATAAGTTCAAAGCCAGCCTCAGCAAAAGCGAGGTGCTAAGCAATTCAGTGAGACCATGTCTCTAAATAAAATACAAAATAAGGCTGAGGATGTGACTTAGTGGTCAAGTGCCCCTGAGTTCAATCCCCAGTACCCCCCACCAAAAAAAGTCTATTTATTAGAAATTGCCATAGCCTTTCTCTCCTGTCCCTCTCAATTCTGCTTTCCCAAAGTGTACAGACCACTCAGGGGTCACAAGAAACACTGAAGGCTCTCCAAATGGACATCTTACCCAGATCACGGGTCCATTTCCAGGTCTCGCCTGCTGTTTCCAGATAGGTATCTATAAAATATAGTATATCCCATAGTTTCAGTTAAACCACTACTAGATCATTTAAAGCAGTATATAAATAAGAAAAAAAATATTTCTGAGCAACCAAAAATCAAGGTAAAAGAATAAGTTAATGAATAAGAATAAATTCAACTCCTTCTTAGTATCCTCAATAATGAAAGCTCATAAGAGCTCAAGTTATTGTAAAGTCTTCTTTGGAGTGAAAAAGTATCTGGACTAGGACTCAGAACACTTGGCAGAACATGAGCACAGTGGCACAGGCCTGTAATCCCAGCACCTCATGAGGCTGAGATTTAGCAATTTTGCAAGGCCCTAAGCAACTTAGCAAGATCTCATCTCAAAATTTTAAAACAAAGGGCTGGGGATGCAACTCAGTGGTTAAACAGCCAAGTTCAACCTCTGGTACCAAAAAGAACACTTGGCAGGTTCAGATTCAAGTCTTGATTTCCCATTGTATTATTCACAGGACCATTCTGAGTCTTTATTTACCCTCCTCTAAAATGGAGAAAGCTGTCCAAACTTTGCTTCCATTGGCATCTAATGAAATGATGCCTACAAGAGTATGTTATAAAAAGAAGGGTTCACTTTTCTAATACTTTCTATAGGTTCATTATGATTCTCTTCAAAACTCCAGAGACAAATCTTTTCTTCAAACCTAAGAATTATGTGGTTTCCATATAAGCACTTAAAGCTCTAAATTAATACCTAAAGGGATTTAATCTGTGTGAGTGTGCCATAATATACTTACTCCCTCATCTACTATTTAAGTAAGGAACAAAACTTTTCTAACTCAACTGTGTCCTTTAAGAGAAAAAAAAAAAATCTCATTCAAAAACACTTTAAAATGTTCCTGTATTTTATAAAGCACATCTTAGAATAGTACTGACTGAACCCATGCTGCATTCAACTTCTACGCTCATCCTAAATCTCATTTCCTTTCTTCAATCACTAACCAACTTACCATCTTCCTCTCATTTGATATGAAGACAGCATAACACTCTTCCAAAGGATACTGGTTGTGGTTTTTGATGTATTCACAGAGTTTCCAAATATTTTCTTCACTGAAATAAAACAACTGGTTAATCAATATAATTAAAAGCGAACTCTCTTTGTTATTCAAATTTTAATTAAAGACTAATGATGACATAAAAAAATTGGAAGAGACTTTAAACACTTTCTAATCCAACAACTAACATTTAAATCTCCTTCTGTACAGGCACAGTGGCACATACCTGTAATCCCAATGATTTAGGAGACTGAGGCAGGAGGTTGGTAAATTCAAAGCCAGCCTCAGCAACTTAGAGAGACCCTAGGTCACTTCGCAAGACTCTATCTCAAAATAAAAAATAAAAATAAATAAGAACTAGGGATGTGGCTCAGTGGTTAAGCATCCTTGAATTCAATCTCTGGTATGTATGAACACATGTATAAATATATAAATAAATAAATGTCCTCAAAACATCACCAACAAGCTGCTGTCCAACCTGCACTGAGGTGGCACCTCTGCAGACACAGGGATCATTGCCCCATAGCACTACTTGTCTATGGAGAAAGTTTACAACCAATAAAATGCTATGTCACAATTCCATAAGTGTCTGGTTGAGAGACTTGCAATGCAGCTAGAATTCCAACTGAGCCAATTACAAGGTAAGAAGCATTGACTCTCTTGATCTGAGAATCTCCTTTGCTCATCTGTAAAATGCACATAATCATATCATATTGTAAATACTCAATAAATCTTAGTTAACACTGGTTCCTTGCTTGCCTTAAATAAAGGGCAGGTTGGGTGTTTTGGGGAACAAGGCTCCTGGCTGGCAAGGATCAGGAACAGTTCCATGCTAGGTCCAGGAAAGAGTCCCTGTGAGTGGGATTCCCTGAGCCCCTCTAGTAAGGAGGAGGTCTTGACTTTTACAAAGCCCTTACTCATACTGAACTAAAACCCACCTTCCTACATATCTACCCTGGATCAATCTCTCTTCTCTATGACAAGCCATGAGTGATCCGAAACAGTAACCAGAACAACCTAAATAAATTGGTGCCTAGTGCATCAAATAAGCAACTGAACCACACTCCAGAGTAACTAAGCACACACAGGCAGTAACTAAGCCACACTCCCAAGCATGGGCAAATATAGCCGCCGTTCAGCCTCTGAGCTCAGCCTCTTATCTAATGAACCACACAGTACCTTTGCTCAAAATGAGATACACTCATAACTATGTATAACGCAGTAATTAAAAAAACTAGGGAAAAAATGAGCTACACCAACGCTCTGCTCAGAGCACATGACTCAATCTGTCAAGGATGAATTTCTAGTCATCTACACGAAACTACCTGAAAATGAAGCAAGACACAAACAACATTCTCTCCATTTGGTACAAATACACACCCTTTCAATTCACACATCTTGGCCTTGTCTACCTGTCTCAATGCTCCACACAATTTAAAACACCAAAATCTGACATCTGTATTTTTCTCCTGTGGTTTTGTTTTTCTCTAAAATAACAAGGAAATCTTGAGGAGAAAGTGATATTGGTGGTGGCAACAAAAGGAAGCTTGCAATGACTCCTTCAACATGATCTATATAATAGATAACAAAAATTCACTTGACAGTTTCCATACAACAAATGGCATGCAGTAGCTCAAACTTTTCAAATCCAAGTTTTGAGAAGACATTTATCTGTCTGGCCTACAGAAATTTTTGAAGAGTTTAACCAAAACATCTTCAAAAGCCTGTGAGGTACAAAACACTAAATTAAGTGCTTGGAGGATATGATGATAAATTAAAGCTTACATATGCTGAGAGGAGATATAAAGATCAATAAACAGCAAGCAGCACAGAAAGACAAAATGATACATACCAAAAGCCCAGAGGAGGGAGTCATTATTTGGAGAGATATGGGAAGATGCAAGAGATACAGGACAGCAGTTTTTCCTTGTCTGTTCCCCTATCCCTCATCTTACAGGTGGGAACAGAATTCATGAATCGACAAGTACTACTTGTAGACTGAATTTTTTTTTTTTTGAACCAGGGATTGAACCCTGAGGTGCTTAACCACTGAGCCACATCCCCACCCCCTTTTTTTAAATTTAAAGACAGGGTCTTGCTGAGTTGCTAAGTGCCTCACTAAGTTGCTGAGGCTGACTGTGAATTCACAATCCTCCTGCCTCAGCCTCCTGAGCCACTGGGACTACAGGGGTGCACCATAGTGCCCAGCCAGTACTATTAATTTTTAATACAGTGTGAATATTACAGAGAGAAAAAAATTTGAACATAGAGTTTCTGAATTTTATTCATTCTCTTTTTATCATCAGATCATAATATGCAGAAAAATCTCATGAAATTTTTGATGCTAAAATAAAAAAAAAGAGGTACTTATATTTGAAAATGCAGGGAACCACAGTTAGAATAGAACAAACAAAAAGGGTGATGATACTGTCCCCAAGCTGTCAAGTGATCATTCTAAAAGACAAAAGCCTAACAAAGCAGCATAAGGACTGAGACTGCAGGGGTTACCCATAATGGGCTGAGGCCAGAGAAGCAAGCTGAGTGGACATTCCTGACACACAGCAGGTACTACACAAATGTTTGGGAAAAAACTAAACAATTAAAACAGAATCAGAAATACCCTAGGGGCTCAGGGTGTAGCTCAGTGGCATGCTGGGCAAGCACAAGGCAGTAGGTTGATCCCTACTGGGGAAATAAATATTGCTGTGCAAACCATATAGTCCCATACAAACAATGGCCACAACTCTTATCATTAAATGGGGTTGTGAAATACAAGTAACATCTGACAGAAACTAACAGAAGAAAAAGTGTTTATTTCAAATTAGAAGAACCTAATAGAGCAGAAGCAAAGTGCACCGATTGATGTGCTCAGACAGGATAGAGCACTGTTTCCCAAGCACAGGTGACCATGTCCCCAAGAGGACATTTAGCAATGTCTGGAGACATATTTGGTTGTCACACAACTAAGAGGAGGTTGCTAATAGCATCTAGTGGGTAGAGGCCAGGGATGCTGCTACACATTCTATTCAAAAAAAAAAAGACCATCTTCTCAGGAGACATTTATCTCTTGCCATTCTCCAACCAGATCACTCTCCCAGAATTGTATCAGTCTCCCTCCTATTTCTCGAATACTGACTGCATGCTTCCTTCTCAGGGCCTTTGCACCTGCTGTTCTCCCTGCATGAAATGATCTTCCCCCATTAGCCACAAAGCACTTGCCCTCTTTTCCATAGATCTCTGTTCAATATCACCTTATCAACAATATCTTCCTTAAGTATCCTAACATAAAAATAATATTAGTCACCAGGCAGGGTGGCACAGACCTGTAATTCCAGCATCTTGGGATGCTGAGGCAGAAGATCACGAGTCCAAAGCTAGCCTCAGCAAAAGCAAGATGCTAAGCAATTCAGTGAGACCCTGTCTCTAAATAAAATGTAAAATAGGGTTGGGGATGTGGCTCAGTGGTGGAGTGTCCCTGAATTTAATCCTTCATTACTTCCCCAAAAATGGTATTAATCATCACCTTTTGCTTTTTCCTATTTTTCTCATAGCATTACCACTACCCAAACATGAATCACTTGTCCTTTTCTGCTTTCCCCCATCAAAATATAAGAACCAGGAGATGTTACCAAGAAAATATCAATTTTGTTCACTGCTACCTCCCCAGTGCCTAGAATCACACATCACATATTCCAAGTGCCTAATAAACATTTATTGAATGAATGAATGAAATAATGAATGTCTGCTAGGAGTGAGAATAGGATTTAGGAGACAGAAATACACTGCTGCAATTGAGAAGCAGGAACTTCAGCATCACACAGAGGTTCCAGGCTCAGTACCATCACTTAGTAGAGGGGTGATCTTGGACAAACAGTCTTTCTGTGGCTCAGAAAGCAAAATGAGGATAATATAATCATAGAATCAATCTCCTAGGCATGGATAGAAACAGTTGGCATTGGGCCTAACTGAATTAATGTTAAACTCTTGGTGGTATTATGGTCCTGAGGTTTCTTGCACGTTGGGGAAGAAATTATTACTGAGGAAAGGCATAGAGGAGTTGAGACCAAGGTAGGTGTGATGCTTCAGCTGCTGAGATAGCCTAGGTAAGATATACAGTGCCTTGACTCCAGAGCCAGACTCCCGCCTGCAAATCCCCATTTTTCACTCAGAAGCTGTAAGAATCAGGCAACTTATTCGCACCCCTCTGTGCTTCACTGTTCTTTGAAATGTAGATCACAACAGTACTAATTCTCTTGGGTTACAATGGGGCTCAAACGAGTTAGTCCACATATCCACCAGTAACAATGCTCGGCATTTGCCAAGCGCGATGCAAATATAATCATTATTATAATGACAGCAATTCCTAGCTGTTAGCTGGGTGACCTTGGAAAAATATTTCAAACTCTCTGTGCCCCCATTCTCTTCCAAATTTAAAATGACCTGCACCTCAGTCTGACACCACACAGGCTTCTGCAGATAACTTCCAAAGCGGCGCTCTACCCTCACTCCCCTTCCGCGCCCCCAACCACTGAGATCTGCTGAGCTTGTCCATCCAAAAAGCGCCAGACAGAGGTAATGCACCATCGAACACACCACTCCCATCCCATCCCACTGCCCACGCTCTGCTCCAGAGGCAGGGCTCGCGTTCCCTCTCCCTCCACCCGGCAAAACAATAGAACCTTCCAATCTAGGCCCCGCGCGCCCAAAGGGGCAGGAAGGAATCGGTGGTCCACGGCGGCGCGCTGGGCCAGACCCCGGGTGCAGTGCCTGCACTCGCCTCACCAATAGCAGCTGCTGTAGACACAGGCGTCCCGCGGGGGGCTGGCTGGCTGGTAGAGGGTGGCGGCGGCGACGTCCCCCTCCATAGCCCCGGCCTGGGGCTCACGAACAGGACCCACCAAAGGAATCCGCCAGTGCGCAGCAGCTGGCGCCAGTAATCGAGCAGAGTGAGAGGAGCCTGGGGCGGCCCAGGCAGTTTCCGGCCAGTGGAACCTGCGGCCAGTGGGCGGGGCCTGGGCGGAACCAGAGGCTCAGAGTCCCAGCGCGCGAAGCCCGGGACAGAGCTGGCGGACCTCTCAGTGTAGGGAGCTGGGAAAAGGAGGTGCTACCAAGGGGGTAGGACTAAGTGGGCGGGACCGGGGTGGGGCTTGCAGCGAGATTTCCCAGTGGGCGGATCTTGGGATGCGAAGGCCTGCGTGGTTCCGGATGGGCTGGGCCCTGGTGCGTGGACTCAGGCGGGGAGGGGCAGAAGCGCGAGCTCTGGTGGGCGGAGCCGGGAACCTTGCGCGTTCCGGGTAGGTGGAGACTGACCGAGTGGGTGGAGCCTAGACGGGGCCAGAAGACCGCGCGCGTTCTCAGGGGCAGGGCCTGAGCCCGGCTGACTGAGCGACGGAGGCTGTAACCGCCAGGACCCGTCAGGTGGGGAGTAGAGCTGTCGCGGGCCGCTGAAGCGCCGGCCTCAGCAACACTTGGGTGAGAGTTCCTGGAGACACCTCCATCCCAGGCTGAGGTTGCCACCTGTGGAAGTGCCAGATTAGACGTTGAAATAAGACGCTTGCGTGTGCAAATCAAACTCTTGGCACTCAGCGTGGAGTCCGCAGGATCCCGGAAGAGGAGGGAGGGAGAGCTTAATTCCCTCATTGAGGGATCGCACCCCAAATTTCACCATATTGTAAATTTTTAAAATTCGGAGATCATCTTATGTTGGCTCAGGAAGATATATTGATTTCTTGATATAATAAAAGAAAAGGTTGTGGTATCTGGTTTTGTATTAACCATATAATTTGCTGGCAATATAAAAGAAAGACGCCAAATATTAGAACAGTGTTTAGCGGGCGCCCTGAGGAACGGCCTGTAATCCCAGCAGCTCCGGAGGCTGAGGCAGAAGACTCGCAAATTCCAGGCCAGCCTCAGCAACTTAACCAGGCCCTGAGCAACTTAGCAAGACCCTGTCTCAAAATAGAAAATAAGAAGAACTGGGCTGGGATCGTAGCTCAGTGGTTAAGCTAACCTGGGTTCAATTCCTGGTACAAAAAAAAAAAAAAAACAGAAAACCGTTGTGCATCTCTGGTGAATAAAGGATGTAGAGGACTTTGACTAGTCTGAATTTGCAATGGACATATGTAACTGATCAGGGAACTTCATATTATAAAAAGTGAAATTCCTAGGTTGGTTATAGGCCTAACACGTCAGATTCTCTGACTTTTAAGAGTTCCAAAGCTCATAAATCAAAGTCATAAAGACTTTGAACATAAGTCCTTAATGTCCATTATCAATTTATTGCCTCAGTTCTTTATACTCACTTATTCTGTTATTCTAAATAACAGAATTTCATTAGATCTTTCTCCTTTAAAGTAAGGATAAGGTTCAGTGTTCTAAGCAGAGTGTGGGAGGGACACTGCAGGAGGAAGAAGCTCTCTGCTGTTTGGGGGAAGGACAGAGACCAGAGTTGGGGGTGTGATCATGAGTACCTCAAGTGGAGTGGGCTCCAGCCACAGGCTCATAATGTAGTCCCTCTGTGGCTTTAACAGCTTCACCTCATGATGCTGTAGAGCAGATTAAATCCAGTAATCTACTGGGTTGGGGGGCAGCATAATGCCTGGCACAACATAGATACTGTCAAAGATAAAGTCAGACATAGTTAAAGCAGTAAAATAGGTTTTATTCCGTGAGTACTGAACCTAGGGAACAGAACTGAACTCCATTCTGATTTGTGCTGAGGTGATTTACATCTAAATCAAAAATTAAAAGGGAGAGGGAATGTGGGAGTTCAGTAAAAAGAAGTGAAAATTACCCAGGGTGTAAATCTGTGTCTACTGGCTGGCAGTTATCTAAGTCCGGGTTCTCTCCTCCCACAGAGACTGAGATGGAAGCCCTAGCCTTCCTGATGATTACATTTCAAAGAATGGCTCTCAGATCTTAAAGATACCTTTGAATTGCTAAAAAGACAAATTGACACTTCTAAGCTCTTTAATGCTCTAAGAAAAAGGAGACCAGGGGCCTATCATTAGGTGTTGGTGAGAACAAACAGTAAATTTCCCTGGCAGGGTTTGGCTTTCTCTTGAAAGCATTTTTAATGGGAGGTGGGGAGGAGCTGAGGTCATCCTAGGGACACAGCCTATGCTGCTAAAAACCTTAGTAATGTGTGCCCAAGTCTCTTAGAACAGAGATTTGGGTGGAGTAGTCCTGTTCGGAGAATTCTCAGCAATCTATGTAATAAAACTGCATAGTTTTGCAGTTATGATCATTAACATTTTATATCTTTGAGCAGTATGCCAGCATTATGACTGGCATAAAAGGTTCTTGAATTAATTATATTTTGTTAGTTAAGATACATATGGTTTTTCCGTAACTAAGAAACCCCAAAATGTAGCAATTTAAATTTGAGATACAAATGTTTTTCTCATAGAACACTCTGAGCACTGATACCTTATCTCTTTAGTCCACTACCCAGGCTCCTGGTATTTTATGCTAAGGGCATGGAGCCTTGCCCTGGTCAGCATGGTTGAGGATGGATCACCATCCCATCTGCTGCAATTACATTCTGGCTAGCAAAACCAGGAAGAAAGGATAAGTGGAAGATTTAAGGACAAAATCACTTCTGCTCACAGTTCACTGGTGAAAAGATACTCATAAAGTCACACCCAGGTGGAAAGGAGATTAGGAAACATGGGTTTTTTCTGGGCAATCCAGCTAACCTGTGAGTTTCTCAAAGAAGAAAGAGGGCATGGATTTGAGAGAGAGCCAGCAGTCTCTGCCATATTGTACTTACTTTCTTTTCTTTTTTTTTTCTTCTAAACTTTCTCACAAGTAGGAGGTTTTTTTTTTTTAATTGGAAAAAAAATAAATCATAGAAGTCAGTCACAGGCACATATTTATAACCACAATGGCTCAGGAGACTGAGGCAGGAGGATGACGAGTTCAAAGCCAGCCTCAGCAACTTAGCAACGCACTTAGCAACTCAGCAAGACCCTATATCTAAATAAAATATTTAAAAGGGCTGGGATGTGGCTTAGTGGTTAATTACCTCTGGGTTCAATCCTCAGTACCAAAAACAAAAAAAAAATAGATCATAGAAAAATACATGTGATCCTATAGTAGAGACTATAAAAAGGGAAAGAAGACCAGGGATGGGAGGAAAAGAAGGAAAGGGGAGGTACTGGAGAACAAAAACAACCAAATTATATTGTTATACTGTGTGCATGCATGAGTTTATAACAATGAATCCCACTATTATGTAAAATTATCACACACTGCTAATTAAAAAAATGAGGATATGACTTCCAACCAGACTCTGACCACAAACTCCAATAACCCCGATTAGGAAGAAATAAGAGATGCACTCATGGAAGATGACAGCCCATGAAATTAGGATATTAAAGGGCAGGGATTTAGAGGAGGGACATTTGACAAAGGAAAATGTAAGAAAGGCCACAGGCGTGGAAAGGAGATTCAGGAAGTCTGCAGCATACAATACTTTAAAAATCAAAAGAGGCTTTTTTTATTGAGAAAGTGTATTTTTAATGCTTAGTATTAAAAGCATGAAGTAAAAGAAAGAGATAATCCCATGGCTTGAGACCATATGGTTTGCTGTGATCAGACAACTGAAAGGAACAGAAATATTCAGTGCCTATTTTGCTTGCATTTTCTCTAACAAGGAAAAATGATCCTTGAGCTATAAAGAATAAGGAAATTAGCACTAAAAGGAAATTAAAGGCCAAGATAGGGACAATGATAGAAAGCACTAAATTATCTTAAGTGGATTGAAAATCTTCAGACCCAGAGTTATATTCCAGAATACTGAAAAAGCTTTAGGTTACACCCTCCTAAGACTCTCTTACAGCTCTTTAAGAAAATATGATGGAGGAGATGACACAAAATTAAATATGAATGTTTGCTGTCTTGAGTTTCATAAAAGGAAAAAGAGATATTCCAGTCATCCCATTACATTGATGAGCTTGATATCTATTCCCATGGTCATTTTTGTCTATTTTGTTTTAAAAGTGAAGGGCATAAATCCTTGTTGAAATAATGATTTTTTAAATAACTGATTATTAGAAAAGCATTGTGGCTTAGAGTATACCTTGAATCCAACAAAGCACCTGGCTCTGCTACACTAGTCCTGATTCATGTCCAGTTCAAAGTCAAGGCTGTTATTATCTCTTGTAACGAGAACAACACTGAAATGGCTCTCAGACACAAAGGATGAGCTACAGGGTCTCAAGGGATGTTAATCAGGATCACATCTCAGCCCTTCTTTCTCCCCATCTCTCTGCTTCTCCAATGCTTGGCTTCATTCTGAGATCAACTTTTCACTTCTGCCCTGTGGCAGCCACTGGCAGCCCAGTATGCATATTTTCCAGGCTCAGCAACCACAGTGGAAAGAGAAAGCTTCTTTTTCATTCTAGCAACCATATGGAATGACTTGTGCCTTCATTTTTTACTTCTGTGCTGCCTGTACTTTTTCCATGTATAACTTTGTAATAAATATTAAAAGTAAAATGCTTCTAAAGAATTAAATTTATGGACATTAATATAAATAACTGTGTGTGGGTAGACTATTGTTCACTTAATTTTCCCTACTATTGGGCATTTAGTTTGTTTTCAGTATAATAGTATACTAATATAAGTAAAGCTGTAATCAACATCTTTGTACATAAATCTAGTCCATACCTATGATTATTACCTTTGACGTGCTAGAAGTGGGATTCCTGATCCAAAGTTTTAAACATTTTTCAGGACTTCTGATGCATGTTGCTTTATTGCTTTCAAGAAATGAGCCCATAGCTGGACGTGGTGGCACACACCTATAATCCTAGAGGATCACAAGTTCAAAGCCAGCCTCAGAAACTTAGCAAGACCTGAGCAACTTACTAAGATCCTGTCTCTAAATAAAATATTAAAAAGGACTGGGGATGTGGCTCAGTGGTTAAGCGCCCTTGGGTTCAATCCCCAGTCACACCCCCCTCCCAAGAAAAAGAAATGGGCCCATCCCCCAACACTACATTGAAGATTTTTATTTAAAAACAAAACAAACAGGGCTGGGGTTGTGACTCAGTGGTAGAGCACTTGCCTATCAAGTGTGATGTGAGGCACTGGGTTC